TTAGGATCAAATAGCCATCTAGACTTATCACATTATTATAGACTACGTAAACATAGTTACACACAACAGCACATTGTTAGGATCAAATAGCCATCTAGACTTATCACATTATTATAGACTACGTAAACATAGTTACACACAACAGCACATTGTTAGGATCAAATAGCCATCTAGACTTATCACATTATTATAGACTACGTAAACATAGTTACACACAACAGCACATTGTTAGGACCAAATAGCCATCCAGACTTATCACATTATTATAGACTACGTAAACATAGTTACACACAACAGCACATTGTTAGGATTAAATAGCCATCCAGACTTATCACATTATTATAGACTATGTAAACATAGTTACACACAACAGCACATTGTTAGGATTAAATAGCCATCCAGACTTATCACATTATTATAGACTATGTAAACAGTTACACACAACAACACATTGTTAGGATTAAATAGCCATCCAGACTTATCACAATATTATAGACTATGTAAACTATGGATTATGTATTTAATACTTGTTCTTACATAGTGAACTATTTTCCAGTCTAAGTGTTATTTCATATTTTCACCAGTCTACGACCATGATACAGAGGTACAAATACAGATTTTTTGTTTACAATTCAAATTAAAGTTGAATTTTTCTATAAAATCATTAGTTGGAGAAGTTACCATCTGCTAGGCAGGAGATTCAGAAGCTAAAAGCAAGAAATGAAGACTTGCAAGCTATGGTAGATGAGAAGGTTCGAATTGAGAGGTAAGAGGAATTCCAGCAAAGTAACGCTTGCTGAATCCAAAGTAAATAAAATCATTTGAAGTTGTGATTAAGTACTGTTGCCAGTTTATCAGTGTAAATATGATCAGATGGCAAACAACACAACCTTAATTAAAGAGTATCTTTTTCACTCTGCTACTTAATTAAAGTATTGAGTTATGGGATCCTTTTAACATTTTCATTTTATTTTAAATATTGTTTTTCTTCTTGTCCCAAATAGCTGATGTTAGCTGTTTTTATTCATTTAGTGTAACCGTGTAGTAGGCTACATTTTCCTTGACCAATTAAATTACTTTAAGAACTCATAACTATGTACGTTTGTTTCAATAGTTTCCATTATAATTGGTTAAAAATATATCCCATTCAGATTAAGTTACTTCCCGTATCTAATTGTTTAACACAAGCTTACATAATCAAAGGAAAACATCTTAGCCTTATTAGTGTTAACTTTTGTGATAGGATTTATGTTATATCTTATTTTATCAAACATAACAGCCTAATTAGGTTTAACATATCCCATCAGAAAGTATCATTAAGTGATTCAGTGCATTCTATTTATTATAGGTTTTAGTTTTGATCTAAATAATTAGCTTATTTTGATGAAACGTTTTTAATACCTATCTTAGAATGTAGTCTGTTCACATTCTAATTCTATTCAGTATTTTATAACTTGACATTACTGAAAGGAAATTATAAAACACTTAAAATCTTAAAACTGTGATGCATACAAAATGCAAAATCACAGAATAATTCAAAAATAAAATAATAACAAGTTTTACTGTGATATATATATATAAAAAATGCAAAATCACAAAATAATTCAAAAATAAAATAACTTTTACTGTGATATATATAAAAAATGCAAAATCACAAAATAATTCAAAAATAAAATAACTTTTACTGTGATATATATAAAAAAATGCAAAATCACAATATAATTCCAAAATAAAATAATAGTAACTTTTACTGTAGGCAAGTTCTGATTTTAATTATTACAACATTTCAACCAATAGGTGTCGTTGTAATCATTAACATCAGAACTTGCCTTCTGTAAAAATTAGTTATTGTATTTTTGAATTAATTAGTCACTTAAGTGGTTTATCACTAAACATAAGATCATAAACCTGACTTATTAGTTCCTAATACGTTATAAGCGAAAATTATTATATTTCATCTAACTTAGTCAAATGTTAATAATGGTTGGAGACAGCTTGAATGGGTATTGAAGAAAAACTTTATATCAGTTTAACATAACAGCAAAATGTA